CCCCCCTCCCATTTTCCCTCCCTTCCTCTCTCTTTAAAATAAATAAACATATCCTTGGGTGATGATTATAAAAAGAGATAGTGTTCCATTACCAGTTAACGTGACCCCTAGGTATGAAAAGCAGGAGTATCTGGCCCAAAAAACTTTAACCTTTGTATCAGAGAGAAGAGGAGTGTGAGAAGGCTATTAATAGGAAAGTAACATTTCGATAAGTTGTGTTATAAATAGCATTTTAAAAGACTACGTTGATTTGGGGCACCAGATAGGAACTGGTAGAACTCTTGATGAGTATATAAATTGATATAATCTTTCTGGAAAGCAGTCTGGAAATATTTAACAAGGCCTTTAAAAACATCATCTGTGTTGATTATAGAAAATTCTATTTCTTTTATATAGAAAATTGCAAGGAAATAACGAGAAACCCAGGTGAAAGTCTACATATAAAGAAGTTTTCCTAGATTTCTATTAATAGTGTAAAGCTAGAAACAGCTCTGTATCCAATAAAAGGAGAATTCTGAAATCAATTAAAGGTATAGACATCTGTAGAATTATTATACAGTTTTATGTGGTGGTTTTCAAAGCATATTTAAGGACCTCAGAAAACACTCATGAAAACCTAAATTTTGAAAGTAGAATACAAAGTAAAATATATACTATAACTCTAATTCAGATTTAAGGTATAAGTCATACAATATTAATAGTTGTGGGGGGTTTTGTTTGTTTTTTTATTTATATTTTTATTGATATCAGAGAGAGGAAGGGAGAGGGAGAGACAGGGATAGAAACATCAATGATGAGAGAGTCATTGATCGACTGCCTCCTACACGTCCCCCGCTGGGGATCGAGCCCGCAACCCAGGCATTTTCCCTGACCGGGAATCCAACCACGACCTCCTCGATCCTAGATCGATGCTCAGCTGCTGAGCCATGCCTGGCTGGGCAACAGTTGTTATTTTTATGTATGTTTTTTTCTCTAGTGAGTGTAATTAGTTTAATTATCAAAAAAAATAATTGAATATTTGAATAGAAAGTGCTGTTGTTCAACATGTCCGCTTTCAATTCAGTGTTCTAAAGTGAACGTGAGCTGTCGCATTCTGATCTCCATACATGTGTCTGTTGCAGACCCCACTGCATTCTCCAGCACAGGTACTTCCAAACAGCAGCAAAGACCTTTCTCAGCCAGCATGTGCAGGGCAAGGCACCAGCTCAGACGGAAACGAGCTGCCTGACAGAAGCAAGAACGAATGCCCATCCTCACCCAGGAGGGACAGTTACAGTGACAGCAGTGGGAGTGGAGAAGACTCAGCGAAAGCTCCTGCAGAAAGTCCCGATATGAGCTGGAGTTCAGCTTTGCATCAGACTCTAAGCAACGTGCTGCCACAGGCACAAAATCAACACGAGGCGACCAAGAGTCAAGAAGATGCCATATGTACCATGTTTTACTATCCTCAGAAAATGCCCAATAAACCAGGGTTCGAGCACAGGTATTGTCAATATTTTAATGCGCAACACCCAGAGCAACTGGTGGTTGTTAGTAACAGGAGGAGCAACCTACGTTTTTCTAAGAATGAAATGTGCCTGTATGTGAACTTGACAATGATTAAGTAGATGATGACTCTATAGGCTATCTAACTGTTGTGACTGTCCGTTTTAGTTAGCGAACCAGTAAGCTCTCTAGCCATTCAGCCTGAGCCTTGCTGCTCTCTTGAGCATATTTACTAAAAATTGGGAAAGTTTTTGTTTGTATCTCACCATCATTCATATTACTTAACAGAAAGAGAAGAAACCTATTTAGACAGGGATGGGGTGGGAGAGTAGAGAGTAGAAATGTAAAACGAAGTGGTGTGGAGGAAAGGGTAGAGAGTTTGCATAAGGTAGGATATAAAAGAGTACATAAGATGGGGAAAGGAGAAATAATTGAAAACATAGAGTCATAAAAAGAAAACTACAGCCCTAACTGGTTTTCTCAGTGGTTAGAGCATTGTCCCACGGACTGAAGGGTCCCGGGTTTGATTCCGGCCAAGGGCACGTATCTTGGTTGCAATTTCAATCCTCAGCCTGATCAAGACACGTGCAGGAGGCAACCAGTAGATGTTTCTCTCTGTCTCTCCCTTCCACTCTCTCTCTGAAAAGCAATGGAAAAAATAACCTCGGGTGAGGATTTTAAAAAAAAACAGAAAACTACATCTATACCTTTAATAGTTACTCATACATTTTACTGTTTGGTTATATCTTTGTATATATCCAAGTCCAACCATATTTATTCAAGTGTTTTTTTTTCCTGTTGTATCATCCAAAATAACCAAAGGAATAAGACTTATTTTTTTTTTCTTCTCCTTCTAATTATATTGAAACACACATGGGGCTTCTGATAACATTAGCCTCAGCCTTGAATTAACAACTAGGAATCAAAAGTATATTTATTTAATCTGTCTAACTGATTTGTGTATCTTAAAGAGCTTCAAAATAGAACCTAGACAGAGAATAAAAATTGGTAATATTGGCATATAACAGATGTGAAATAAATTCATTGTCCAGAGTCAAATAAAAAGTAGCTGGATCTCAATCCAAAGCAGACATGAATATTTATTGAAATTTTCTCTTTGCAGCACCAACTTACTATATTGACATTGAAATGTAGTTTTAAAATCCTTGCTTCTTTGTCTCTGTAGTAATCCTCCTTCCCCTCTACCACTGGATGTGACTCCTGGGCCACCCCAAACAGACTCTGTTTCCACTAATTTAATAGATAAATACCATATACGTCACACTTCTGAACCAACTAGACAAGAAAGCTTGACATCTTTGAAAAATGATTTGGAAAACCACCTTGAAGACTTAGAACTGGTGAGTTGTTTCCTCTGTATAAGAAAATTCCAAATACAAAAAGAAAATTCCATAGTAGTCACATAATCTCCCTTTAAGAAGAAGACTGTCTTTTAGAGTATTTTCATATTCATGCCCAGTAAATAGATAACATATCTGGTATGTTTCTCTGCTGAGAATTCGGGGAAAAGGCAAAAAGATTTAGGTGCAAATTCTGTTTCTACCACTGACTTGCTGCTACTTAACAGGTGCCTATGGAAAAATTACTTAATTCTTCTGAGTTTTAGAGTTTTAGCTATAAAATGGGGATAGTAACCTCATACAGTTGTGGTGGGGATTAAGTGGAATAATAGACATAGAGCATCTGATTCAGTATCTGTTACTTGCTAAATTATGATGAATCACCTATTTAATTTTTAATCAAGACTGAATAAATTTTTTCTCCTCCATACTTGTTTTTGTGCGCTCAGATGGATTCCTTTACATTGTACTAATAGCCCTAGAACTTCTAAGCCTACAAATTCAGTTTGGAAGCCAAAATTTCAAGAATAATATCCTTTACATTGATTGAAAGTCAGTCTTTTTCAATACTATTTTTATTATTCATGTAATATATATTTATTGTAGGAAAATTAGAAAACAGAGAAAAAGATTAAAACTATTATCTCACCACCCAAAAGCCATAAACATTTGGGAGTTAATCTTTCCAAATACTTTGTTTGCCTATAATTGTGTGTGTGTGTATGTGTGTGTGTAGCATCTATATCTTCAGTTTCATTCTCAGCAAGAGTGAAAATAGTCTTTGAATGATTCCCTTAGAAATCTATCATCACCCCAATAAGCTATAAGAAACCTTTATGTGTCAGCTGGAATCTTTTTAAAAATTTTCATACAACTAAATACATGTGATATTTAATCACCCAAAGACTTCATATTAAAAAAACAAAACAAAAAACTTATTTTGTGGCTCTTGGCATCTATCTAGGTTTTCTAGAAATATATGAAGGATTTTCTGAACCTTCTCTTCTGAAAGTATTTTTTGATGATCAGGATATAGCCACTAATGTGTCCTTGTTTGTTCTGAAAATACAAGAATTGGAGCATGAGTAAGTTCTGTCTCAGATACCTCCAGACAAACACATAATGTATTTAAACCCAACTTTTACATTGGGGGGCATTCTATCTGGAGTTGAATAGACCTGGCTTCTTTATTTGGAGAAAATAAGTAACCTTTTAAGGTTTGGTTTCCCCCTCTGTTATTCAGTGGAAATAATAGCCATCTTTCTGTTTGTCTGTAAGGCAGAATAGATGTCCTAAAGGAATCACTGTTTTCTTCCCTCAGGAAGTAGAGCTCGTCATTACCCTAATTAAATCGGAAAAAGGAAGCCTGGGTTTTACAGTAACCAAAGGTAATCAGAGTATTGGTTGTTATGTTCATGATGTCATTCAGGATCCAGCCAAAAGTGATGGAAGGCTAAAACCCGGGGACCGGCTCATAAAGGTGAGACTTTACGTGGAATGAATTTGTGCAAATGGGGCCAAAGAGCAAGCCAGGGCTGGAGAAGGAAGAATAAGAAGGCTGAGTCACTGTAACATTCTGTTTCTCTTTGGTTTATGTTTCCCCTCTTCACCTCTTAAAAGTAAAGGCCTTTATATAGTTAACAGTTTGAGAAATGCTTACAAATTCTCTTTTTAATTTGGAAGTCCCTTTAATCTCAGTTAAAGCATTAAACAAGCTATCTTGGGTTTCAGGGACAAAGTTTCTTAAATTACTATAAGGATAATTGTCCTATATTAACAAAAAAATGATACATTTGTTAAGTATTTTACATTATTATTTCACTTATAATTACTTGATCATTGTGTTTATAATTTCCACAGTACAGGGTATTACCAATAATTAGAGACCATTCTTTTTTTTAATAGTTGGTTGAATTTTTTTGTTGTTTTAAAGAGAGAGGAAGGGAGAGGGAAAGAGAGAGAAACATCTATGTGAGAGTACAACATCATTCATCTGCCCCCTGCACGCTCCCTACCAGAGATCAAGCCTTCAACCCAGACATGCCCTTGACTGGGAATCAAACCGGCAACCTCCTGGTGCACGGGACAATGCCCAGCCAACTGAGCCACATTGGCCAGGGCTAGAGACCATTCTTTATTGTGAATCTCTTACTGGCTAATATATATTTTATAAGAAAAACTCAGGGCAGTGACCTTCAACCTCTTTCATCTCTTGGCACACATAAACTAATTGCTAAAATTCTGTGGCACACCAAAATATATTTTTTTCCCATCTGACCAAAAAATTACGTATATAATTTTGTTTCATTCACACTGGACAACTATCTTGTTGGCTGTTGTCATTTTTTTATTTGATAATCTAAGGGAAAAGAGGTTAGTACCCCTGAATAAATAGTCAGGTATTGCATGTTTTAAAAATTCTTGTGACACACAGGTTGAAAATCACTGAGTTAAGGGGTTTGCTATATTTTCTTGGCAACTTCTCTGTTCCAAAAATTATAATCTTACTTTTCCGCTTTCTCATTTTTGTAGGTTAATGATACAGATGTTACAAACATGACTCACACAGATGCAGTGAATCTGCTCCGAGCTGCACCCAAGACAGTCAGATTAGTTCTTGGAAGAGTTCTAGAATTACCCAGGATGCCAGTGCCACCTCACTTGCTACCTGACATTACATTAATGTGCAACAAGGAGGAGTTGGGTAATGCAAATTCAGGCTTTGTGCAGTGTAATTTTTCTTGGCTAGACTAAAAGTAAGTACTCTTAAGGCTAAGAAAACAAAATTTTTTCATTCCCTGCAGGTTTTTCCTTATCTGGAGGTCACAGCAGCCTTCATCAAGTGGTATATATTAGTGATATCAATCCGAGGTCAATCGCAGCAATTGAGGGTAATCTTCAGCTATTAGACATCATCCACTATGTGAATGGAGTCAGCACACAAGGCATGACCTTGGAAGAAGCTGAGAGAACATTAGACATGTCGCTTCCTTCACTGGTGTTAAAAGCAACAAGGTACTGCTCTGCAATTATTAGTGGGTTTTATTTGTGTGTGCAGATGCATTTCAGGCTGTTGATTTTATTTATGTTCTCTTAAAAAGATATTCCTTAATTAGTAATTCACAGACTAAACTGGAAGAATTTAATCAAGTTAAACAGACTTCCTGATGACATGAGATTCTCAGAGCACTTTAAGCAGATTCCTGTTGAGATACGTGTTCGCAGTTATTAATAGGGTGGCTACCACATTTGTCAGTTAGGATGTTTTCAGTTGCAAGTAACAGAAAATACCACTCAACTTGGTTTAAATAAGAAAGGGAATTTACTGCCTTATATGTTTAAAAAGATTGTGTAGTCATCACGTAAAATTTGATTAGGCCTCTGGCTCCATTTCTTTGCTGTCTTCATTTATTCTCTATTCTGTATATATGTTTCCTGCATGATAGTCATGTGTGTGTCAGGTTCATGCCACACACCTGCATACTACACCATCCAGAGGAGTCTCCAGAAGTGTCATCAATCACAGTGGTAAAGCAAAGACTATGTGCTGACTCTTAGACCTAAATTAAGGCCAGGCTCTGACTTGAAGCAAAGGACAAGAATGTATTGATTGGCCTGGGCCAGTCGTGGCCCACTCCCAGTGTTGGGACAGTTAGCCCTTCCTACATCTCATGTCTGCAACCAAAGAGGCATAGAATCACCACATCCACTATACTCATAACAACTTCATGTGATAAGAAATGCTAATAGCAACTTTTCTTTCACTTAAAAATAAAATAAATTGAAAAAATATATGCATTACTTTCCAATTACTACAAATATAGTGGCTTATTGTCTTAATGGTCCTGGGGGTCAGAAATGCCAAGTGGGTCTCAATGGGCTGAAATCAAGGCAGAGCTGCACTCCTGCAGGCTCCAGGAGATAATCCATTTCCCTGCCTTTTCCACCTTCTAAAGATTATGGTATTCTTTGGCTCATGGCCCTCTTCTGTCTTCAAAACCAGCGATCACAGTGCTCTGCTCTGTCCTTACATCTCTTTCTCTGACTTTCTGCCTCACTCTACCATCTATAAGGACCCCTGTGATTACATCGAGCCCTGCCAGATAATCCTAAGTAATCTTCTCGTCTCTAGATCCTTAATTTACTCACATCTGCAAAATCCCTTTTGCCTTGTAAGGATCCATATTCACAGGTTCTGAGGATTACAGTATACACGTTGTGGGGGGGGAGCATTATCCTGCCTCCCACATGTTCATAAATCCAGGCTTTCTAGATGACAGGCTTATATTATATGAAGGGAAGTTTTACATTTATATCTGTGATACATGATATGCCTTTCAAAATATAGGAACTATTAATTCAATCATTTGATAGTAAACTTATTTGTTCCTTCTAAACCTTTAAGTCAGAATGTGTACTTTTTTCCTTGAATGTAATACCTGACCATTTTCTCTCATATATTTCTAAAAGTTAAATTGGGCATAGTTATCTTCATAGATGCAGCTGAATGTTGCTTAGTGGGGAAGGAAAGGGTTCAAACAACCTAGAAAATATTGTTGTGAAAATTAACATCTCTCTTAACCATAGAACTAGTGAATTTTTTCCCCTCAAAATCAGTACAGCATCTGTACTTTAGCTTTGAAATTACTTTCTTTTTTCTTCTACTATTATCTTTTGGAGTCACTAAAGGCCTGTAGTAGTGGTAGTCCCAATTGCTTTCCCCTCTGTGCTTCGTCTAGCTCTCTCTGCACTGTTGTATATGTCTACTGTCTTTAACATCCACAGGGTAGCAGTAATGGAGGGATGTGTGTTTATGGTAATTATCTGTATGTCAGGAACTGTAAAGGGTCTGTGATTCTGCTCTACTTGCAGGCTAATAAGTTAGCCAGTCATTGTTCCTTGCATGCTGGTCGGAGATGTGAAACTCCAGGATTAGAGACAAAATACTTAATGCAAATGGTACTGGTGTCAGTTCCAAACATCCTCTGAGTGCCACGGAGATGACATATGTGGGTCTAGTGGATTCCTGCACGTGCAGTGGGTTGTATCATAGGAGAGGAATACTTTAAGAAGAGCCTGGGAACCTGCGTCTTCATGGTGGCCTGATGAAAGCCCACTTTTTGTTCGGGAAAAGAGGTTATGTCATCCCTCAAGCTTGCTCCCACAAACAACCTTGAAAATTGGCCCAGATAACAAGTGGTCATGGCCTTGCATTTCTGGTTCACCCAGGAAGAATATGCAGGGATGCTTAGGGCCCAAGGCAGATTGCCTCTCTCAATTCTGCATACCTTAGGCAACCTCCCTTTTTTCTCAAATATTGAGAACAGTAATATTGCATACGAATCCTGTTTCCAAGGTGCTGTCTTTTTTTACTGTTTTTCACATTGGGTGGTATTACTCTTCTTATAATCCTTTGAATATACATATTTTATCTAGATTTTCACTATAAATAACTTAAAAGCAAAAAACATACCAAGGGCTTAAGGGTCATAAAACAGTGATCTATGATTTCTAAGTTATCTTTGAACTATCACTTGAGTGACAGAGAACCAAGTTATTAGATCATGAATATTACCAGTGTTTGAAATGAGAGAGGAAATAAAATGATATGTTGAACTGAAACCCAAAGAGAGATTATATAAAGAAGTGATTCTTAATCATTTTGGGGTCAAGAATATTTCCCTTCAGAAAATACGTAGATGAAGACTGATAAAATTTTGTCTTCAGCTTTAGGGGTTGCCTAGACCCCCTGAAGCCCATCCAAAATAAAAATCTGTAGTCTGATTAACAGATGGTTCAAAGGATATTTAAGCAAGTATCTTTAGTAATTTGCAATTGCCTTCTCATTTTTTTACAACACAGAGATGGTCAGCCAGTGATCCCAAGTTCCAAGAAGTCTGCCATTTCAACTCCAAAGTCAACCAAAGCCAATGGTAAGAGCACATTCATTTTATGATACACGTAGTTATGGAGAAGTAACTCTTTTTCCCAGAAGCACGTATGGTGACTATCACTAAAATGTTTTTATTGCCTTTGCAGAGTGTTTTGCAGGATCTCTGTCTACCTTGTAAGGTTATAATGAGCATTAATACAATAATATATGTGGAACATCACATTGATTGTCACATAATAATTTATTCACACAGTTATTTAGTATCTGTGCTGAGCACTGCTCTGGGAATTGTGAATATGGCAGTGAGAAAACAAAGTATCTGTCTTACATTTTAGCATCATAGTATAAATTGTAGAACTAGTGGTTGTGGCAACAGTTAACCTTGATTTAATGCTATTCTGCACTAAGTATTCTAAGTGCTTTAGTCCCAACAACAACCACCCTGTCACACTAGTGTTGTTATTATCCTCATTTTACAGAAGGGGAAATGGACGCACCAAGAAGTTTGATAACTTGCCTAAGCTCATAGAGCTCACTTCATATATAACTAAACTTTTAGGTTATCAGGTAGTAGTACCTAAGTACGAAAAGTAGCTAAAAGAAACCTCACTAAGATTGCAGACGTAGTTTATCTTCTAAAAGCTAGCAGATCTGTTACTCTCCTCCTCTGTTGTTATCTTGAATACCTTCCTTCTATCTATTCTCTAATAGCCCCAGTTCACATTAGAGTCAGACTATCTTCTAGAACAGCACAGAGAGCATTTTTCTAGTGACCCCTGGGAAGACTCCTGTTTGTAACTTTCAAAGCTAATGAGAGTAGCTATTCCCTGCCCCCGTTGTAGAAACTGCCTAGTGATCTGTCTTTATGGGTTTCTCTTACTTGAATCCCATAGAACTAACTCCTTTATGAATCTGAAAAATCATATAGTACCAATAATAACTGTCTTGTCATGAGGGGAATGTAAAATGGTAAAACCATTTTGGAAAACAGTTTGATAATTTCTTAAAAATTTAAATGTACACCTACCATATGATCCCACCATTCCACTCCTATTTGTTCACTCAAGAGAAAAGAAAGCATTTATCTTGTAAATGCTTTTCTTTGTAGTAGCCAAAATTGTAAACCATTCAAAGTCCAAAAATTGTTGAATGAATAAACCAGTTGTAATATATCCAAACAACGAAATACTATTTAGCAATAAAAATGGTCTGCTGATGCATACGGGAACATAATTAAAATAACCTCAGATAAATCTGTTGAGTGAAAGAAGCCACATAAAAAAGAGTTCACACTGTATTATTCCATTTATTCAAAATTATAGAAAATGCAAATTAATCTATAGTGATAGAAAGCAGGTCAGTGGTTGCCTGGAGACATGGGGAGAGGGCAGTTCGGGGAACCGGAGGGAGCAATTGCAAATAATAAACTATTGTGTTTTATGCTATTCTATTGGATTATTTTGAACTAGTGGTTTGTTATTAGTATGCTTTCTTCATTATTTTTCCTAGAAGTTTAATAATGTAGTATATCTTCTGTAAATAACATTAAAAGACATTCTTGGGCTCTTTCTAACATCATCCACAAGATTATAGAAATTTATCCCTAAAAATTTATTGCATCTTTCTAGGTGGAGTTATTTTTAGATCATTCTCAAATAGAAGTCCTTGAATACACTTAACCTGTATTTTTCTTTTTTCTTTTCTTTCTTTTTAACTTTTCCAAACTCTACCGTATCTCTTTAAATCTCTTGAAAATATAATTTAATGAATCACATTATTTTTAAATATGACTTTAATTGTAAGAGAAACAATCTTATTTTAATATATGTATTGAATTTTTATACTGACAACTAAGAGTTCAAATTAACATTTAGTTTGGACATTCAAAACTTGTTTTACTGTGTTAAATCGGTAGTCTGAACAGCTTGCTATCTTCTCTTAAATAGTAAAGTGAATCTAGTTCATGACCTGTGATGTGTCTCCCATTTGGTTGGGATAATTCATATTCAGTACCTCACACTAGAACCGTTCAGCCTGAACTGAGCTTTTATGCAGGCTATTTTCTTTTAAGAAACTGGCTTTTTCCTTGGGATAGATAAGTCCTTTGCTAATATTAGATTCCATCTAATTGGTAAATCACTTTGTGACATAACCTCTTTTAATGTACTAATAAATAAGAGCATGTACAGGTATGTGGGTTTTCTTTCATCATTTTGATGCTCCTACTGTGGTTCTGACTGACTCATCCCTTAATCTTTACGTTGTCCCTTTGAGGTCACCACAGTGTGGAGCCTTGTGGCAAGCCTGCCCTCACTCCTAATGATTCGTTCTCTAAGGTAAGTAAGAGGCTGCCTTCTTCATGTCCTACTCCCTTATCTAAATAACCAGCTGGTTTGTGTCTTGAACCAAACTGATTTCACATTTAAATATTTGCCTTTTTAAGAAACATATGCTGATAATAGGAATATATATCAGTGAGCAAATAGGCCTTGCTAAGTAAAGCTCACATCGTCATGCCCCCCCATAAGAAACCCTACTTTATTTGGCACATGCTCAGCTTCTAAATAAGCTAATTACTTAAGTAGATAGCTTTAGCACCGGGATTTTTATTAATGTGCACAATTCCTTTGGTTGTCTTAGATACCCAGAAAAGAAGCTTGTAGTTAAGAGTGAAATTGGTCCTCTGGGTTAATGTTGACCAGCAGTGACTCGAAATGACAAATCTCTGATGCGACTGAGGAAAAACAGTAGTGGCAAAAGACAAAGGCTTACTTGCTTCTTGAAGGACATAGGAAAGGCTTTGCCAATAATAAAAAAAAAGACCCTAAATCATTTAAGATTAGCACAGAGAAACCTGGTGGTGATTTAACTATTTCATCACATAACTAAATTCCACTTTAGGCTCTCTCGTTAAGGCTACATGTATGCCCATTTGTTTGACTAACATTTTGTTTAATAGTTTTCTTTTGGCATGTAATGTACGTTCTAAAGTAGTGACAGCCGGCCCTGGCCTGTGTGGCTCAGTGGGCTGGAGCATCTCCGCGTACACCAAAGGGTGGCAGGTTCAGTTCCTGGTCAGGGTACATACCTAGGTTACAGGCTCAACCCCCATTCGGGGTGCAGCTGACTGTTGTTTCTCTTTCTCCCCTCCCCCTCTCTGAAGTCAGTAGGAAACATATCCTTGGGTTAGGATTAAAAATAAAGTAAAATAATCACAGTGGGGTCTTCATTCTGTGAGGGGGTTTGATCCCACACACGGCCTGCAGTCTTTCTGAACCTCACTATTTGAATGTCTTTCCATGTAAAGTCCAGAGCTGAGGCATTACTCTTCTTGTGAGCTGAAAGTCTTATCCTCTCAACAAAATTTCTGGATGCGAACTAGACCGAGTGCAGGAGGCAAAAATGGATTTAGCACCAGAAGCCCACAACTCTGTGCCTTTCGTCTCGCTTTGTTATCGCAGACTTGCGACACGGTTTGTCAAGGCCTGAAAGATAGTGTGCAGAAGAATGATTAGGCAGAAAGGCCCAGAACACAACAGTAGACGTTCCTCAGCATTTGTATTTTGCGGCTGGGACGCAGCGGCGTTCACTGCTCTGTTTATTCACTACTTCAGTTGCACATAGCTGAAGCAGCTGAACTGGTGCGTGTTGAGTGTTCGTCATGCTGTGTGTAGTGCTTATTTTCTTTTTAGATATCACCATGTTGTTGAAAGGAAGAAGGGTAGAGTTTCTGTTTATATTAACATAAAACTCTAGAAACTACGACTTCTGTTATTCATAGCTGCAAACACTTTTGGTTGGAGCTAAAATCTTCCAGAAAGCTGCTCAAACAATATTCTGTCCTTGAATACGAATGTCTGTCCTATGAATTTGTTATAAAGTTTGGGGTTTCACAATCCAATGAAACTTTTTGACATCATGTAACTGCTATTTATGAAGAAATGATTTTATTTCATCTATCATCTCTACTTTTTATCTTTACAGAGTAAAAATCTTCAGAGCAAATATCTTTTTTTGCATAAAATTATTTAATTTATTCTGATTATTTAACTTTGCATTTTTGCCAATTCATTTTTTGTCAGTAGTCTACCCACCATGAATCACTTCACAATTTACCCTTGAATTAAAAAGTTATATTTTATTATAAATAATTTATAGTTATGAGCCCATTGTTATTTTTCTTAAATTGAGATGAGATTTAGACTAGATCTGAAAGTCTTTATACCTAACTGTTGACCGGGGCACTAAACTGGAATTTATGCCCATGTAACAGCTTCACAGATACTTAAAAGGTGGATTTTCCCTCTCTTTCCCTCAACTTCTAAGTTTAGTAGTCCTATTAAACTTTTCTGAAAAGTTCTGTGAATGACAAGCCACATAAAATATGCCTCAAAAAAGAGATTTCCACAGTCAAATAAGTTTAGGAAATTCAGCATTATAGATTTCTCTTATGGCAACTCAGAATTTCTATTAGTAAGCATTGTGAGAATTCTTAGAATAAAAATACTGATTTAATGTTTAATCTCAGGTTTCCAGACTTGATGATGGGAAGTTCCATCCCCTTTACACAGTTTATAGCACTGGTATTTTCTAAAAACATGACTAAGGTGGGGAGATATAAAATGGATTTTGTACTAAGAAAGGGGGATCCCCGAAGGACATCGAAGGGCAATGTACAGTCCTCCCTAACCCTGGAAGCTAATAAAACAGTGAACTAACGAGTTGCTTTGGTTTTATGCTTTAGGTTAATGGGGAAGAAATAATTGAAGTTTTGTACCCTGAAGGAAAATGTTCTACTGATCAGATGAAGGGATCAGCAAATTTGATTCTGTCCAAAGGTAGTTTTCCAAATCAGTCATCCAGTTTCTCTAAATGCCCTAATAATTCAGGTAATAAAGAAATATTAGGTCCCTTCTCTTATTTGCCTTACTTGTTCCTGTAGTTGGTTTTATTTTTTTATAGTTGGTTTTAAAAGGGCAGATTGTTGTTCAAAGAAATAGAAGAACAATATAAAATTAATTATTGTTAGCTATATTACTGTACCAATATCCAGGATTCATTCTCATCTCTAAGGTTAAAACTATTTTTAAATGATTGAAAAGATAGCTGTTTTATTTGATAGTATTCCTCATATTCTTGGAGAAACAATTTACAGGCTACTTAATAATTGAGAAATTTTTTCTTGGGTACATTTGGGGCGCTCTATCATATCCTTAATCTTTGTAACATAATTTGAGTTTCTTTCAAGAATTAACAATTTTGGATTAATTTAGGAAAATAAGCATTAAATTATTAATGTCTCCTAAAAAGGCGTATCACAGACATCGACGCTGGTTGACTTTGTAAGTTGTGTTTGTGTGGTCTTTTGTCAGAGCAGCCAGAGTAGTTCTAGGTCTAAAAACGATAACCCCCGTTAGTGTGATCCATTCGTCTAGTCACGGCCACTTTTCAAAGTGGATGCTTCAAATTATATCAGTATTTTAAAAGTAAAACCCCATGTGAATTGCTGTTTTTCAAGAGTCTGATGCGCAGGAGGATGATATCTACGACGACCCTCAGGAAGCCGAGGTGATCCAGTCCCTGCTGGATGTTGTGGACGAGGAAGCCCAGAACCTCCTAACCCAAACCAGCGCGGCGGGCAACGCCTGTGCCCCAGGTAGCGGAGCGAGGGAAGCAGCTGGCCCTGGGGACAGGCAGGCCGCTGGGCTGCGTGTTAACCCCTCCCGGCTTCTTTACTTCTCTCCCAGGCGCACTGCGAGCCAATGGGAAGCTATCTGAAGAGAGAGCAGAAGACACAGACTGTGGTGGATCGCCTTTACCTGAGGATTTTACGGAGGTGAGGGTCGCACCTCCCTAGGTCAGCACTGTGGGAAGCTGCACCGAGTAGAATTCTCTGTCTCCTTCCTTTAAAACGCGCTTTCTCTGCCCAGGCCTTACCTCTCCCTTACTCCCAGTTTCCCTTTTGGACATGAGGTAAAGATAATATCCTGATGGCTGCTTAGTGTAACCGCAGTAAGAATGACAACTCATGTCATTTACTCATTTGGGAGAAACTTATCTTTAAGTCTTTTAACTTCTTTTGGTGAAATTTTCCATTCAAGAAAAAAGGTATAAAAAAAACAACCATGTGATTTTTTCTTTTTCTTTTTGGATATCTTTTTTTTTTTTTTTAATTTATTTTTAGAGAGAGGAAGGGAGAGGGAAAGAGAGAGAGAGAAACATCAATGTGAGAGCAGAACATCGAAAAGCTGGCTCCTGCATGCCCCCTAGCAAGGATCAAGCCCACAACCCCAGGCATGTGCCCTGACCAGGAATTGAACCAGCAACCCTTCGGTGCATAGGATAATGCCTAACCAACTGAGCCACACCAGCTAGAACTGGGTGTTATCTTTTTTTTCTCATTCATTTTTTTTTTAATATATCTTTATTGATTTCAGAGAAAAGAAGGGAGAGGGAGAGAGAGAGACAGAGACGCATCAATGATGAGAGAGTCATTGATCGGCTGCCTCCTGTATTCCTGCTGCTGGGGATCAAGTCCGCAACCCTGGCATGTGCCCTGACCGGGAATTGAACCTCGATTTCCTGGATCATAGGTCAATGCTCAACCACTGAGCCACGCCAGCTGGGCTGGATGTTATTATTTTTACACCAAATAAAAGTTGAGGCCCTGGGCATATAGCTCAGTTGGTTAAGGGCATTGTCCCAATGTGCTGAGGTTGTGGGTTTGATCCCCGGTCAAGGCACATACAAGAATCAACCAATGAATGCATAATAAATGGACAACATATCGATGTTTATGTTTCCCTCTCTCTCCCCCCCCACACCCTTCTCTCTTAAAAAATAAAAAAAAAATGTTGAGAATTCCAAGATCCCATTCCAGTTAATACCTAACCTTGGTAGAAAATGTGGCTTTTATCTTTGAGTGCTCCCTCCTGTCCCTCATGGATTCTTGGTCTTTTAATTACCATAGAAAAATCGAATTCTTCCAATTATTTCATGGGTTTGCCATGATTACTTTGAGATTTCAGTTAAGACTTGTTTAAAAAGACTCGACATCATCTGAAGTTATTGCCTGTTTTACTGAAACATTACATTTAGGGTGAAAATTGAGGTTAATTTCATTTTTTACATTTAAGCATCATCCTATCCCAGTGAAAGAATCATTACTCAAGTTTCTGCAAATCAAAAAAGAAAGAAAGAGAGAGAGGTGGTTTTTTTAAAATATAAATTATAATGCATGGTTCTAAATTTGGTTCTCTACTATTATTATCCTCTTTCCACAGTAGTACATAAAAATCCACCTCATGATTTCTAATACCTTTCCAGTATTCTATTACATGGATATACCTTTGTTAAATTGGCTCTTAATGAATTTTATTTTTCATATTTATTATAAACGACAATCCACAAAGATTCCTATTTCTTTATACTATAAACTCTCAGGATTCACAAGACAAAATTAAAGTTCAAAACTTAAATTACTTGTATGCTATGACTATTTCTCTACAGACCCCACCATTTTCTATTTTGCAACCCTGCTCACCATCACCACTCCAAACCCCAGCATTTCAGAGGTTTTTATTTGTCTGGTCCCTGCAGGCACTTGAGTTTGAAATCCATCCTAATCTGCTTGGGCCATATAACAAAATGCCATAAACTGGGTGGCTTTAAAGAACAGAAATTTAATTTCTCATAGTTTTGCAAGCTAGAAATACAAGATCAAGGTGCCAGCAGGTTGGTTTCTTGTGAGACCTCTCTCCTTGGCTTGTAGACGGCCACCTTCTCACTGTGACCCCATACATGGCCATTCCTCTGTGTGTGTGCACTCCTGGTGTCTCTTTCTCTTCTTGTAAGAAACCAGTCCCTTTAGATTAGAGCACCATCCCTATGACCTCATTTAGCCTTAATTAACTTCATAAATATGGCACTGTCTCCAAACATAGTCACAGTGGGGGTTAGGTCTTTGGCCTGTGGATTTTGAGGGGACACAATTCAGTCCATAACACAGTCTTTGCTTTAACCAGTTACAAAATATAATTAAAGAAAATTTCCTTCACAATAGTTGCAAAACAAATAGAAGCTGTAGGCATAAATTCAACCAAAAGTGTACATGATCTGTATTAGGAAAACTTTAAAACTCCACAAAGAAGCATCAAAGAAGTATTAAAGAAAACCAGTCCTTGTTCTTTGATAGAAAAACGCAAAAGTTAAGTTCTTCCTAGCCCTGGCTGGTGTGGCTCAGTTTGTTGAGCACTGTCCCATGCACCAAGAGGTCACTGGGTTGATTCCCAGTCAGGACACAAGAGATGCCACAATATCATTTGGCACTGGGCACTATAAAATATGTAGCTGGTTCTGGATCTCCTCTACTCAAGTTGCTGGATTTGGATTCTTTGAGCAGAGGATTACAACTAACCTCTTGTGGTAAAAATCTTAAATCTTTTCCTTGAGGCAATACTACAGCTGCCTCTTCCAAAGAACCTATTCATAATGAGAAGAGAGACTGAAGGTCAGTCCCTTCACCCAACCCTACCCCTGCTATATACAGGTGAACTTTGCAAAAATAGTAGGAAATTGCTTAATACAAGTATCACTATAGGGTTTTACTTTTTCCAGTTGGGTTTTATCTTACCACTTTACTGTTAATAATAGCACTTGACTGTTATATAAGGCTTTATACTTTCAAAAGTATACGCAGTAGATTCTTAGACCTGGATTATGATGGAGAATCAGAAATTCAAAAGACTTTACTTGGGAAGGAGTTATCAATTTCTAAGAACAGATACGGTCTAAGAAGCTTCCTTTTAGTTGTCAGTGGATAAAAACCTTTTTCTCCTAGAAGTTCTGCATTTTCTTCAAATAAATTGAAATAGATTTCAGAATAACATAGATACGTTTTAACTCTACAAAATCTGTAACTGAAAGGTCTCATTAGAGTTTTTGTATAGTTTCATTACCTAAGTGAGACAACTGCCTGTGTCTCAGGCATGAGCGTGTGTGGGCATGCGGTGGTGGACAGACAGGGTTCCTGCCTCACAGAGCTTACAGTCTAATGGAGAAGAAAAGAATGAGATAAACACACAGATAAACATGCTATTACAGCATGATACGGTCCATGGAGGGTTTTTAAGTGCTAAAAAAGAGAGAACAAGGAGACCTACTGTAGATGGGGTGCTTAGGGAACAGTCTCAGAAGGAAAAGACACTTACATTGAATGAAGAAAAAGTACCTTCCATAGCAGGAACTTCATGGTGAAAAGAGATGAGCGATTGTGAAGACCTAAGAGAAGCCTCATAAGTGAGGGGGAGAGTACAACCAGATGAAGGTAGAGGTAGACAGGGCCTGATAATCCAGGGCCTTGAAACGAAAGGACTTTCCCACTTGTTAAGATCATCTGTCCTGATAAAGATTGGAATGTAAGATTTATTATCCATGTAGGAATGCAACTGAACATCTTCTGATTGTATCAAACTGTTCCCGCAGTATTTGGGTCTCAGAGACACCATATTCAATTATAGTGGGTACTGATTGATCTGTGTTCCCTACGGAAAGACCCCTCACTTCAATAATAAAAAGGCAGGACAGTTTAACACATTAGAAATTACCAAGATTTTTTTGGATAGCCCATTTTTCAGATTTTAAAATTTAAGTTGTGTAAAAACATATGCCACATATGCACATCTCAATCATCATTACTTTAGATTTTCATCTTGCTTTCTCCTTACGTCTATATCATTAATATCCCATATATAAAAAATGAAAAACCAAGATGAGTGTGAAGGTCAGTAAGTGGTACCAGCAAAATTTCTCGGGCCACTGAAAATGCCTCAGCCACAGTTTGGCATGTATTAATTGAATGTCATAAGTGACTTTGTAATAGGAATATGAACTATAACAGTACATATAGGAAAATTTTGAACATTATGAGATTTTTTTTTTTTACAACGGGCTAATTTGATTTTGATTTCTCTTTATTGTAGTCTACCAAAATGAATGGCTGTGAAGAATATTGTGAAGAAAAAGAAAAAAGTGAAAAGTAAGAGAATAAATTTTTAAGTATTTATAACAATTCCATTCTTTTTTTGAGAAGTGCTCTAAAGATTTCCCTCTAGATGTTTTAAAATTGATTTGTTCTTTTCCAATAAAATGAGAATTGTGTAAATTATGGAACTATGGCTGAATATTAAGAATGTTTTTAAAATATTATTACAAGCCCAGGTCGAGTGGCTCACAGTTGGTTGGAGCTCCATCCCATCCACCAGAAGGCTTCAGGTTTGATTCCCAGTCACACACAGCACAAACCTAGGCTGCGGGTTCCATCCCCAGCTGGGGCATGTGCGGGAGGCAACCAGTTGATGTTTCTCTTTCCTTCCCTTCCTCTCTCTCTAAAAAACAAAAGCAAAATAAAACATATCCTCAGGTGATGATAAATAAATAAATGAATAATAGTGTTACAAGGAGATTCTAGTGACATATGACAATGTGTTTGTTATAACATTGCTCCAAAAAAGCAGTATTCTCTTAAGCATGTGAAGAAAAGTGGAAAAAAGGTCTTTAAAAATGTGCCAACAATGATGACATTGATTTTCTTCTCCTGGTGGGATTATAGGTAACTTATCTTTCTGTTTCTCATATTTTTCTATACTTTATACATTATTTTCTTTAATAAGAAAATAAAACCATAGAAGGAACATTTAAAAACTCCACTAATTTTTTTCTTTTTGAAAACAATTTCTAATATAAAATAAGATTTTTTTGTAACACTAAATGATGGATCAAGAAAAGCTGTGTATGCCGTTGGCCAATGGAGAGGTTATACGTGAATTTTGCTTCATGTTAGATGATAACCAAACAGCCAACGAGAGCTATTTGCATTTTCCTAGAAAAGCAAATTGATAGGGAATATTTCACTATATAAAGTTAGACAAGGGGTACATATTAATGTAGAAATGCATATAGTTTTATACTTAATTGATGAGCAAATATCTGGGGCAGCTGCCAATCATTGGAAAGAGACCAGCTCTACCCTGCAGGGCAGGGCAGGGGGAGGAAATTGTAAAGTAAATTAATGTATTTTAGGTAGCAGTTGGAAACAGTGTTATAAGTTTTATTTGCATGTTACTAATTCTTGGATACACTTTTTTCCCAAGACAACTGTATTATTTTATTTTATTTTATTTTATTTTATTTTATTTTATTTTATTTTATTTTATTATTTTATTTTTAATCCTTGCCCAAGGATATTTTTTCCATTGCTTTTTCAAAGAGAGTGGGAGAGAGAGAAGGAGAAATATCGATGTGAGAGAGACACATCAACCAGTTGCCTCCCGCACATACTCCGACCGGGGCCAGGGATCGAGCCTGCAACCATGGTACATGACGTTGGCCCTAATCGAACCCGGGACCCATTAGTCCATGGGCCAGCACTCTAACCACTGAGCTAAACCAGCTAGGGCTACTTATTTTTTTAATATCTCTAAAATCAGGACAAGTCCTACTGTTATAATAATCAATATTATTTCTTTCTTAATGCCTACAAAATAATAGTGTATTTTACAATGATGGGTATCACAAATTCAAAGAACCCTGGTACATACCCCTCAACCTAGCAATTTTATTTCTAAGAATTGGTCCCACTACCAATTTGTGTGCAAAGACATTTCTATAAGAATATTCATTGCAACATTGTTTATAGTGGTAAAAACCCATAATAGACACAAAATAAATTAGGGTATACTCCACAATGAAGTACTAAGGAGCTGTTCAAAAGAATGGGAAAGAAGAGAACAGAATGCCTGTTGGAAGAATCTCCAAAATACATCCTTGAAGACAAAGTACACTGACTAGGAGACAAAAACAGCCTCCTACATGCAGAACTTACACATTCAATGTTAATGTGACCCACATTTATTGAAGCAGAGGGAAACATCCACCCGAAACAGCACACCTGCCCAGTCACTGACGTTGTGGGAGCTCTGGGCAAATGTACTTTGCTCTGTTCAGGCTTTTACAATGTCCTTTCCATCTCACCTCAGCACTGAGCATTATTCTTCTGCCTGGTTTGCTTTTCTAGCCATTTGCCTTACCAGGGAGGTGGTGTCTGCTCTGCACCCCTAGAACAATGAGAACTGTACTGAGTTTTAGCACGTTGAGCGAGTGCCAGGCGTGAGAGACAGGCGTGTCCTTCCGGCAAAAGAATCATGTCCATCAGTAGGGACTCCTGTAAGTAACGGAAGGTGCATCCGTACAGTCCAGTAGTGGGCAGCTGTTGGAAAACGAGAGAGCTGTACTGACACAGATGTGCTCAGTCATCCAGGCGAAACAAAGCACCACCTCCTCTATCCCCAAGAGGATGCCTTTAGTCTGAGGTTCAAAGACTTGGGATTTGTTTGAGGGGAAATTTTAAGAATTATTGATTTGTGTTTTTTAATCAGATAGTCTATTTTTAACTACCATAATTATGGAGGAAATAAGTGGTTCTAGGACATAATACTTACATTTATTTTGGGACAGAATTGAAGAAAATATTGCAAATGTGTGTTTATTTTCATAGATTAATTCAAAAGTCACAAGAAAGGAGAACTGATGATGATGAAATAACATGGGGGAGTGATGAACTGCCAATAGAGACAACAAACCACGAAGATTCCAATAAAGGCAAGAATTTTAGCAATTTTTTCATCAAAAACAATGGATAGAAAAAATAAGTGATTGAAAATTGTAACTTTCAGAATATATGGATATGTTATTTCACCATATGTGTACATTATTTGATACATAAAGTTAAATCACAGAGGCAAACATCAACATTCATTTATATAGCCAGAAGTTTGCGCAGTTGTAGGCTAAAATTCTCAGTGGCTTAGAGTAAAACAAAAAAATAAATGTGTAACTACTTTAAATGGAAACACAAAGTCAGTTTTGCCACTCTGTAATGAGAAGTCAAGGAGCACCTTTTATTTACAGTGAAATAGGTAGAATAGCTCCAAGATAGGACTTTATTACCCTTGAATCTCAGCCTCGTTTTTTAAGAGCTAGAGTCAGTTGGTCTTTCCTTCCATTACTGCCCCTCTCGTTTTGTAACAGAGCCAGTGAGGAATGAAGTTTTTATCCAGTTTCATTCCTCTTTTTTCACAAAAAGAAATGTTATACTAATGCAGTGAAAGAACATGTTTTCATAACTTGAAGTCTTCGATTAAAGAAAGTAAAGAAGTGGAATAAATGCTTTTTGGATTCAGGTAGACTGTTGTCAGTGACGGTGCTCAGCAACTCCTGTAGCCCCTGCTCTTTAGCCTTAAGCTCCTATTGCGTTCACACTGGGCCCTGTAAAAGTTTATGGTTATCTCATATGAGTGAATTTTGTACTCAGAACTAGCTTTCACCCCAGCCGGATGTTAAGCTTCTTTAGGTATCTTGGTATCTTGTACAGTTTGTGTCCCCAATGGAGCCTGGCATTACTATTGCCTGTGTAGTAGCTGCATCATCAGAATACCTTAATCAACTGATTGGCGTAATTAAAGCTACATTTGTGTAGGCCGTAGCAAGGTATCTCACCAACTTTTTTTCAGGATAATAATTACCTTCTGTTATAAGCAGTTTCCATAGAGCAGGTACTAAATTAGACACATATCTGTTCTAAGGCACTGGTATCATTTGTTTCATAAACCCCTGAAGACCCCAAGGGCTTCATATGCATGGAGAAAACTATCAAATACCAGAGATAGTGACACTGAGTACACAGAGTGTGTGGTGGATAAGAGGGAGATGGTGCATTGCCCATCGTAAGGAATTTCTGAAGCATCTCCCTTCTTTTTTCCCCATGTGCTTGGAAACTCATTTAAATGAAAAGTAATAGTAGGACTAGATACATTTTCCTCAAGAAAACAGTGCCATTTGAGTCAAGCACCTTAAGAATTTCTGAAGTCAGTGTGGTGTTTCCTTGAAAGTTGAGTACAAGGGCCTTTCCTGTGTTGATTGTACTTATGTGCCTACCTATTCATTCTAGTGCCTTATTTATCCTAAAGACTCTCTCACTCTTATAAAAATAGATGAGATGAGAATAGACTAAATTTAGTTCCCTTATTGGCTAAGTTTTGTGTTGATTAAATTTTTTTAAATCAACTGCTGACTTCTTGTTAGATTATGCCTTTCTGACAAATGAGGAGCTCACTGCACTTCCCATCGTCAATGTGCTTCCCTCTGGTAAATACACTGGTACCAAGTTGAAATCAGTCATTCGAATGTTGCGGGGTTTGCTAGATCAAGGAATTCCTTCCAAGGAGCTGGAGGTAAGTAGCTTCTGCAGATGGTTTTTATTTCTCAAACAAAATTTTATTCAAGGTTAGAAGAAATTTTGAAGATTTTGAAAATGTCTATTACTTTACAACTTAACTTCCAACTATAAAAGCACCACCATCTCATCATATCTAGCAATAAATTATTTTTTTAATTAGGATCCTAAAACATAGTGTTGATTTAAAGGGATCTCTTTAGCCACTTTGGAGCTTGATAAATGTCCCTGAAGATTATTCTCCCTGCCTCATCTGTAGGAATAAAGCATTTGGGGGGGAGGGAGGGTTAAGTCAACTATCTGTTCCAACCATCCACTAGACTTCATAATTAATACTTTAGATGCGGTTCATCTTTAGCAATAGTTTGTAATTTAACACAGCTCTAAGAATATACTGTTCCTCTTCATTTTGCAGAAATGGTTTCTTTTTTAAGGTCTTAAGTAAGTTTAAATGTTACAGACCTTGCCCTTGCTGGTGTGGCTCAGTTGGTTGGAGCATCACCCAGAACACTGAAAGGCAGCAGGTTCCATCTCCAGTCAAGGCACATGTGGGAGGCAACCGATCAGTGTTTCTCTCTCTCCCTTCCTTCCTCTCTCTAAGATAAAATTTTTTTTAATATGTCTTTTTTGATTTTAGGAAGAGGAAGGGAGAGAGAGAGAAACCAGTGATGAGAGAGTTATTGATCAGCTACCTGCTGCATTCCTCCTACTGGGGATCAAGCCCACAACCTTGGCATGTGCCCTGACTGGGAATCGTGCCTCGATCACCTGGATCATAGGTCGATGCTCAACTACTGAGCCAATCCAGCTGGGCTAAGATAAATTTTTTTTTTTTTTAATAAAGAATAAATAAAAAAATGTTAGAGACCTTCCATCACAACCCTTTATAACATAAATCTTTTCTTCTTCTCTGTTGCCTGTTAATTTCTTCAAAGCATATATCACAATATTTGCTTGTTTACTTCTTTACTGCCTCTTTCTCCCAATAGGGTGTAAGCTCCAGGAGAGCCAGAATCATATTTTTTTTCTCACAACTGTATTCCCAACACATTTTACAGTGCCTTGCATATGTAGTCGGCATTTTCAGTATATATTTGTTGAGTGAGTGGTAGATGGGTGGATGGATGATGGATGGATGGAATGAAAAGTGAGTTGACTTTAGAACATGATACTGTCTAACTACAACTCTACCACATGGAATAGTCTATGACCCCATAGACAATATTGTCAAGAAATTCTGCTCCACCTTATTATTTAAGCCAAAGTTGGTTTTATAAGTTGTATTTTTTTCTATATTATAATTATAGACATCTTTAAACTGAATTTAAAATTAAGGTACAGAGTGCTACCTCACAAAGTTAGTTAACTACAACATGAAAAAGATATTTGAAACAATATATTTTAACAACTGGTGTATAAATTAGTATTGGGAATTTAGGCTGATTTATCTTGACAAGACATAGCTATTTCTTAACACTCAAAGTCTTTCCTGATCAATAGCCAGTTTTATACCCTGAACATTTAAAGCATTTGCAGTTATTGGTATTACTGAATTACTGCTTATCTCAGCAAATTTAACTTTATTTCCATTTTTGCTTACAGAATCTTCAAGAATTAAAACCTTTGGATCAGTGTCTAATTGGACAAACGAAGGAAAACAGAAGGAAGAACCGATATAAAAATATACTTCCCTGTAAGTTCCAATTTGGCTTGAAGTTATCCTACCTATCTCTCACATAAATGCACATTCAAAGATTTACATTAGTAACAAATAAATTTAGGTATACAGTGTGAATTCCTTTTAAAATAATCTATTCTGAAAATCAGAAGAATATTAAATATTTCTTCAGACATTCATGAATTATTGCTGACAATGTATTAGAAATTAATCAGTGATGCCAAATCAGTATTTTTAAAGTCTTTTTAACAATACGAATTTTCTTCTGGCTGAGCACTTTTTTAGTTCATATGTCACAACCAACAGCTACTTATTCCACTCATTATAAGTTTAGAGAAATGTCTATGGTACATAACAGCTATGTACATGCATGTGGCTACAGTGGTACCACCAGGTTGCATTATACTCTGAGTTATTTCAGGTACCAGAAAGAAAAGAAAAACTCTTTTTACCCATGTTTTACCTATATTACCAAACATTTGATTTTTTAAAAATTATATATGAATATATGTACATAGCCAAAATATTCATGTCTAGCAACTTATAAAAATTATCAGCTGAATTTGTATATATATTAGCACAATGGACTATACCATATGACATACTGACCCTGTCTTTGCCACGAAGTCATGAATCCAAAGAAAAATAACAACCAGTAGTGACATCATGCAATAAACAATAATACAGTTGCATTTTTTCAATCAAGATGGAAAACAAAATTCATTTTGGAAAACTTCTTGTAAGAAGTGAATCTTAGCATTTTTAAATGGATTGAATTATGGTTTGGCATAAAGTAGATGGGAATTATTTCAGGTAAAAAAAAAAAAAAGAAAAGAAAATGGCCAGGCTATTATCTCAGGGTCCAAGTGGGATAAGCCATGAATCCAAAACCATTGAGCAGGTTTGTTTCTGTGGACTAAGAGATACAGTCAAGTAACAGAAGAGCAATCAATGGAGGATTTTGAAACCTATTATTAAAAGTCATAATTTGGTAATCACAGAAATTACCAGTTAAGTGTATAAATATTTGAAATAGAAAGGACTTCTGATGTGTAAGTGCATACAAAGTAATTCTCTTGGATAGGACGGCTTATGTATATTTTTCACTGGAGCAACCTGTTTTGAAAATTTATATTTTGACTATATGAAATTTACAATTAGACAAAGACAAGAGTCCGTATGCGTAGAGAATAAAGTGAGCTCCCTTTTTATTTATTGTGTTTATTATTTTGGCTGCTTATTAAAAAGAGTATAACTTAATTAGATGAGCAAGAGTTAATTATTCCAATTATGTTTGTAATAAGTACTTTAATAGTTTCACTGTGATACTAATTTTTGTTTTATGAAATAATTTTTCTGCATTGCCATTCATTATTAAATTCATTATTTTTGTCATTAGAAATAAGGATGGCAAAGAAGTAACAAAGTTGTATTTGATTTTCTAGTTATTAAGAACTTCTAAGGGCATTTATTAACTTATTAATTTTAATATCTTCAGCCAGATCTGTGTAAATAGTATCAGTCAGAAATGGACTTGCCATCTTAGATCACTTGTCACATGAATGGAATGAGTAAATAGAAAATGATTTACACTATAATCTGAAAAGATGCCTTTGTTAAAATGTTTGTGATTTCATCTGTGGTTATGAGGAATTTCTCATCACCCTGTTTATAAAGCTTTGTTTGAAAATGCATGAGGTAGACAGCTCTGTTTTGTGGTGGGAAATTCACAGATGATGCTACAAGGGTGCCTCTCGGAGATGAAGGCGGATATATCAACGCCAGCTTCATTAGGATACCAGTAGGGAAAGAAGAGTTCGTTTACATCGCCTGCCAGGGGCCTCTCCCTACAACTGTTGGCGACTTCTGGCAGATGATTTGGGAACAGAATTCCACAGTGATAGCCATGATGACCCAAGAAGTAGAGGGGGGAAAAGTCAAATGCCAGCGCTACTGGCCTAACATCCTCGGGAGAACGACCATGGTCAACAACAGGCTTCGGCTGGCGCTGGTGAAAATGCAGCCGCTGAAGGGCTTTGTAGTGAGAGCACTGACCCTGGAAGATATTCAGGTAAGGGGATTAAATCTTCCCTTTTCTAAGGCTTATCTCCTAGCTGGAAAGCAGCCTGGACTGTTTCCATGATTGTGTCAATGTGTTTCTCAAAAAAAGCCAGTGATTTCTTGGTTCCCATTTCAGTGGGGCTAATGCCACCTATTATTTTTTATCTGATATAAGTTTAAATGTGACCCTCTTCTTAAATTCTGCCAGTGTTCTCCAGTACGTACTGTGTTAAAATGAAAATCAGAGTGCAGGGCTTTTAATATGATCATCCATCCTTTGCTTAGTGATAGCACAGAGTGGCTCAGAGGCTGTGTGCTGGAAACTCATTTTTTTAAAAATCAAACCTCTAAGTAGACTCAATAAAACTGTTTTATAAAAACCTTTGAGTAGAAGATATTCCTCCATAAAGACGACATCTTTGGTAATACGTGGACAATTGCAGCATAAACATTTGTCATTCAAGGAGTTCCTGCTGTGGCCACCTAAGCACTGAATAAGCTTAGCCTGAATTAGACAGTTGGGTGTATCTTAAGGCTGCCGTTTCCTCAGCCCCACACTTTATTCCCCCTCCCCCAGTGACACTAGCTAGGTGTGAGGGATGGGTTTCCTGTCGGAGTTGTAGCTCTCTTGAAGAAAAAGAGTAATGCTACTTTCACAGAAACAAAGCACACTCACTCACTTCTACTGGAGGCGTAGAAACATAGCCTGAGAATTTCCTTCCTGGTTTTTTATTGGAAAAAAATGTGAAGGTGTTGAATGACCCACATGGATCTC